ACTGAGATTTGAATCCGTGGTGGAAGGAAGTAGTTCCACACAAAAAAGGGTTTTTAAAGACACTCCATTGTGGTTTCTAATGGATTTAGGCTATATACACTCATGCTGTCGAACTGTTGTATAAATGCAATATCACACTCAAAGCAGTGTGATATGGCTGTATATCGGCATGCTGTGATTCAGCCAATTGTAATGACAGCGTGCTACGAGTGTGATGTTGCTCATATATTAAAGGTTTTAGTTATGGTTGATAGATGTGTTTTTTGTGATTGTCCAGGTGGTTTTCTGATCCCGTATCTGCTGATGCTGATTCTGGAGGGGATTCCTCTCTTCTGTATGGAGCTGGCCATCGGTCAGAAGATGCGTCTGGGCAGCATCGGCGCATGGATGGCCATCAGCCCGTATCTGGGTGGACTGGGTCAGTCACCCTTCATTTACAGGTCGTTTAATGCTATAAAATGAGCTGATATCATCATTATATAATCATCTGTGCTTTACAGGTATCGCCAGTGTTGTGACCTCCATGTACCTCTGTCTGTACTACAACGTCATCAACGCCTGGAGCTTCTGGTATCTCTTCCATTCATTTCAGGTCCGTTTACTGAAAAATCTCATTTGCTTTCAACAAAAGGTACATGTTTCTCTAATACCAAATTTCAGTGAATAATGTTTAAAAACATTATTGTGGCACTTTTATGTGCCATTTTTGGAGATTAGATTCAAAATGTGGATTTCAGTATTATTGATGGCTGAAAACATAATCAAATCAGTCAAAATATATGTTACACGTGTACATGTTTGTGCAGTTGTAAAGTATAATTTAATAATAGCAAGTAGGATGTACATAAAATTAAGCGAACATGTAGTTTACAGAATATTTTCTCAGAATTTTGTCAAAAATATTTGAAAACTATGGAAGCTTGTTTCCACCACAGGATAAAAATTAAAAAAGGTAAATTGCGTCTCTTTATGTCAAAAATTGGACAATTCTGAGAAAAGAGTTGCGAGATATAAATTTGCAATTGCCTTTTTATTTTTAATTTCGTGGTGGAAACAAGCTTTCATAGTTTTCAAATATTTTTGGCTAAATTCTGAAAAAAAAAAAAAGAATTCAGAGAAAATAAAGTCAAAATTGTGAGACAAACTCAGAATTGCAAGAAAAAAAATTCTTTATTTGTGAGATAGTCGCAATTATTTTATTTTTATTGCTTTTTTAATTTTTTTTAATTCTGTGGTAGAAACAAGCTTCCATAGAAAACAGAAAATGTGCCATTTTCATTGACAATTTTGCAAAAAATTATTTTCTTCAGTATTTTTGTTTTGTTTTCCAGTACAAATATCTAAATATTCTTAAGTCAAGATATATTTACTTGAAATCCAAAATGATATAGAAATGATAAGAAGTCTTGTTTTCTGAGATTTATTAACATTAAGTGACTATTTATGCTTAAAACAAGAAAAAATATTAAATTACGTTATCATGTTTAAAACAAAACAAAAATATCTGTCATTTGGAGTCAGAAAAATAAACTTTTCCCTTTGAATTACGCCTATGTTTCTGACCATATTGGCAGATTTTTATTCCTATTTTTCTTTAAGCATAAACAATCACTTAATTTTGATCAGCTTCTTAAAAAACAAGACGACTTATGTAATTTTGCATTGTGAATAAATGTGTATCAATCTAGGAATGCTGATATATTTTTTATTTAAAAACACACAAAAAAATCAATAGAGCAACACTTTTTGATGTATAAACCAAACTAAATCTGCTTTGTTTCTTTGCTATGCAGGAAAGGGCTAAATGATCTAAATATCTGTCCAGTGTTGGGGAGAAACTAACTAAAAGCAGAAATGCTACTAGTTTGTCTGAGTAGCTTGTAGTGTAGCTGCGTTCTCAAAACAGTTGCTTGACTGTAGTTGAACTGCTTCAGTCTTGATGTGAAGCAGGTTTCCAGGAATTGTTCCCCTCACTGGTGCATCAGTGAAGTCTTGAGTTCATGTTTTATCGTGTGTTTCTGCAGTCGGTGCTGCCGTGGGCCGAGTGTCCCGTCAATGCGAACCGCACCGGGTATCTGGAGGAGTGTGAGGTGGCTTCACCCACTCAGTACTTCTTCTACCGCGAGACGCTGAACATCTCGTCGTCCATCGATGAGAACGGAGGCCTTCACATGGGTCAGGCGCTTTGTCTGCTGCTGGCCTGGATCATCGTCTACCTCTTCATCGTCAGAGGCGTCAAATCCACCGGCGTGGTGAGATACACTGCCTTATACACTCTTCCCTTTTAATATAATTTTTCTGAAGAATTAACAGGGAGCTTCATACAATTACAAAATACTCTTTTTCTTCCATATTACCACTTTTTGCCAAAATAAATGAAAACATCAAAAGGGGACGGGGCCTTTTCTGTTGCAGCTCCTCGTTTATGCAATAGTTTACCACTCCGTGTTAGATCTTGTGCCACTCTTGATGTTTTTAAATCTCATTTAAAAACTTCTCTTTTCTCTTGCATTTGACTGTAATTTTTATTAATTAGTTTTATAATTTTAGATTGTATGTGTTATGCTTGATTTGTAAAGCACTTTGGCCAACGTCTGTTGTTTTTAAATGTGCTATAAGAATAGAATAGAATAGAATAGAATAGAATAGAATCGGATAGAATCGGATAGGATAGAATAGAATAGAATAGAAAACATTAAAATATTTGGTAACACTTTACAATAAGGTTCATTACTTAACTGCTTTAGTTAACATGAACTAAGAATGAACAATACTTCTACTGCATTTATTAATCTTATTTCATGTTCATTTCAGCATTTACTAATGCATGATTAAAATCCAAATTTATTCTTGTTAACACTAGTTAATGCAAACAAACAATGAATGACTGTGTTTTCATTAACTAACATTAACAAAAATTAATAAATACTGTAATAAATGTATTGTTCATTGTTCATTCATGTTATTTAATACCCTTAAATATTTAAAAAGTAAATAAAAAATAATGATAATAATACAATTAATAATTTAATAATATTTACAATAACAATAATATTTTTAGATTTATTTAAATAATGTGTATATTATTTTTTGTATAAATGTATTGATGAGATGGAATATGCAATATAGTTACGATCTCTCTAGTAAATTATTAATAAATCATGATTTATGAAAACATTTGCACAAAGATTTAATGCACAAATTTGTGCATATGCACGGTTAGTGAATGACACCCATTGATTATAAAAACTAATCTGTCATTAATGACTCTCATTCAGTTCCAAACCGTTATCTTCTCTTCGACTCCTGTTTGCCTTCTGCTCTTCAGTGTCAGCAGATGAAATAATAAGCCAAACTGCAGCTTTGACTCTCGACTTTCCTCCTCAGGTGGTTTATTTCACAGCTACGTTTCCGTACGTGGTTCTGATCATCTATCTGATCCGCGGCGTCACTCTTCATGGAGCCTGGAACGGAGTCAAGTACATGTTCACACCTAAAGTGAGAAACACCTGCTGCTTCTCTGACCCGTGAGCGTTCGGTTAGAGTTGAGAGTGTGTTAAACGTGTGTGTGTGCGCTCATCTCTGTGTGTGTGTGTGTGTGTGTGTGTGCGCAC